GTTAAAAGAGAAGTGATATGTAATTTTTGTAGCATATCTAAAAGATAAAGTCTATAATTAAGAAAGAAAAAGTTATGATATGTTTTGAAAATCAATTCACACTTCAATTTATATTATATGAGTCAATAGAAGGTGAAAAAAAAAACTAGATGTCGAGAGGCAACAAATGCATCATAGAACCGAAATGACAAATGAATTGGTAGTTAAAAGCAATTACAAGAAATGACCTATTCTTTTGACATGATATTATATATGTATCTTTACACTAAAACAAATAATGTTTAGAAAAATTCAAGACATACATTATTACATTCAAAGTCAGGCTTAACCGTTAGTTATAGAAAGTGAAATAAAATAGGCACATACATGACTTGATCGAGAATTCTCTAATACTGCAATGCACTTTCTTTGATGGATAAAGCAAGCTCGCAAAACCTATTCTTTTAACATGATATTATATATGTATCTTTACATTAAATAGTGTTTATGAGGCTATGTATATTCATATTTTATATAGAACGGTGTGATATTCATATCATAATTTAATCAGAAATGAAATCCAATTAGGTCAACACCTGTCGATAATTAACCTGGAATTTTTTTAAAGATATGTTTTTATGGATATGAATAAATCATGAGCTGGTCGTCAATGTCGTTTATTATTCGCGCAAATTTCTCAAATGAACTTTGTTACCCCGTCAACAATATATATGTTGTATATTACTTAAAAATAAGTTTAATGTTTAATTTCTAAGATTTATCTTTCTTTTCTCCAGGGCTGGCTTTCTCCTTTTCCTTTTTCATTTTCATATAAAATATTTTAAATGAAAATCCCGCGCAACGCGCGGGTACTAAATCTAGTTATATATAAACTTAAGTTTGACTTTTTGACTGTTATGATTTTTCTTTATAAATAGAAAATTTTATATTTGTTTTCAATAATTCAAATCATGGCATACGCAGAAAAAAATGATATAATGAGTTATTAGTTTTACAAATATATAATCATATAAAGATAAATGGTGAAGTATATCAAATCTTCTATGTTTATTTTGATTGGTCATTCAATTAAAATAATAATAATAATTTATTATCGTTTTTATAATTTAATTAAATTGAATAAATTAGTGTCTCACATTTTTATCCTTAATGAATATTATTAATTCATTCGTTAAAACCTATATTTGTAATGGCATATGAATGTAATTACATACCATTAGTTATGTTCTTTTATGATGTAGGGGATTTTTTCCTTTTTATAATTTAATTAAATTGAATAAATTATTATTTCACTTTTTATCCTTAATGATTATTATTAATTCATTCATTAAAATGATATTTGTAATAGCATTTGTATTTAATTACATACCATTAGTGATGTTCCTTTTTAATTAAGAAAGGATCATATGATATAATTTCAATAATGTATGTCCTACAACAAGACTTGAATGTCATTATAAGACATAATTTTCTAAATTAGTTTTTAAATAGTGTGATTTTATATGATGAGTAATTTAATATATGATATACTTCTTGTTTTAATGTACTTAATTTTTTGAATTATTTCATATTACGTTGACATATTATGGTCTGTACTACACAACATGAAATTTAGAAAATACGCACAAAATAACTACAGATTGAAAAAAAAAAGTAAAGAACCATGGTGTCATAATACATTCTCTCTCTTTAATTGTAATTATTTTTATACCCATTTAATATATTACATTTTATTTTCCAAAATTACATACAACACTTACATGATTCTATGTTTCTCTATCTCTATCTTTTATCTAGACACAAGCTTTCTTTCTCTCTTGTGTCTATTTCTCATCTGTTCTCTTTCTCATCCGTTCTCTCTCTCATGTTCAATTATGTAACATGTTATTTCTTCGAACTACACAAGATATAAGTAAATATATTTTTTAACACGTTACTTTCTTATATAACACATTATTTAGTTTAATTTTTACATATAACACGCTATTATTTATGTTGACATTTCATTCTTTCAAAAACACGGTAATTATTTTCAAATTACAGGATTATTCTTTTAGATGATACATTATTTTAATTCATTCATGTCATTTCTTAAAACACCATGATTTTTTTTATATTTTCCTTGATTTATGTTTGCCTATCTTCTCCACATCATCTCCTCTATCATCACCCCTATCTTCCAATTTCCAACTCCCATGTTCTCTTTCACTATGTCATGATATTTTCACTGAATTACATGTTTTTTTCAAAAAAAATACAATACGCTATTGTATCTTTGCTTTTTGTTTGAGGGCAATTTTGATTTTTTTTACCTATGTCAAAAGAGTTAGTTACCTAAATTTTCTTACTTATGGCTATTTACTTAAATCTTTTTAGATCCATAGTCATCTCCTAATATTGCCCTAAAATTTATATACAACTAGTTTTCGCTATGGTGAATTATTCTGAAATCTTGGAGATATTTTGTTTTTAAAGTTGCTCTCATTATGCCCATTGTTTTGATCGCTTAACTAACCATGATCTAATTAAAACCTAAGTTGAGGTTTTGCGTAGACACTAATGTTTTTCTTACATGTTAATCTCGGAACCAAAAAGGAAATAACCAAAAAACCACTACATATTATCAAATGAGATCATTGGTGGTTTTGGACAATTTTTAGCAAAGTAATATGTTTTTTTTTTCATCGTGTACTATTCCTAATTGGGAGATAAGCCACCAAAATCTGTTCACACAACTGTGTCTTTCTTATTTATTTTTTCTTTCTCTTTCTTCGTTTTCTTAAATCTATCACAAAAAATTATCCTAATATGAATTCAATCCATAGAAACCATTTTTGATATACAGTATTCTCATATCTCATTAACGCTAAAGGTTAACCAAAAAAAGGCAAATGTTGGAAGTAGAAGAGTGTTTTTTATTTACGTCGAACTTTTGATACTATCTATACAAAAACCAATATCTCAGCTTGCTGCAAAAGCAACAATTTTGAATCTCACCATTCCCATTTTATGTGTATAGCAAAGCTAGATAGACAAGAACTCAATAGAAACATAACTCATCAATGGAAAAATTCCTCTTTGTGGAGTGCAAATACAATTTAATCCGACTGTGAACTATGGTCTGCTTTGGTTTCCACATTCCTTTTTGTATGTACAAACTCCAATGTTGTAGAGGCACCAACCAAAGCCATGTCTGTTATTGGTCAGATCTCGTAGTCTATATCTGTTGCATTCTGGGAATCAGATTGCTTCACCAACCGTTCCTGCTCATCATACCGATCAAGGTTCTCACACGGAGCCGGGAAGATTGTGCCTATCACACGCCCTTCAACGTATGCACACTGGAAGATGTGCTTTTTCTTGTATGTTATCCCTACTGACATGTCCCTGAAGGTAACATTTTTTACAGGAATCTCTTTGCTTCCTTGGATACGCACAGGTACACGTACTCCCTGACCGTAAATGCCTGTGTAGTTTATGTTCTCGAGTACCGGGAAGGCTTGAGGATTGAATCCACCGTCTGGGTGCTCGTTGTAGTCTGTTTTAATGACGATGCCAACTCTCAATTCATCCAATGTGACATTCCGGAATGTTATATCCCGGACATACCCACCTCGTCCTGGTGCAGTTTTAATCCTAACTCCACGCCGGGAGCTCCAAATTAGAATGTTCTCGACTGTGATATTCGAGACTCCACCAGACATCTCACTTCCTATTGATATACCAGCGCTGTTTTCGCACAGAGGGTTTAGGTACAAGTCGATTATTAAATCAACATTGATAAGGGAAAGCAATTATATCTTACCTAACCATGGAGCGGATGGTGAGGTTGCGGATGAGTATGTTCTTTGAAGGTCGTCCATAGGTAGTTCCATACTGGTCCCAACCGCTCTTTATTGCAATTCCATCATCCCCAACGCTGATATATGAGTTCTCGATTAACATGTCCTCACACGAATCTGATGGACAACAAAAAGATACAGCCACCATTACAGTATGTACACAAATCGCCCAAGCCTATACTCAGATTTGATTTTCTATCAGCAAGATTATATGAAACGCACCATTAGGTACCATTATGGACTATATACTTATAAGCAACACTTGGATACAATGCAAGGAGCTATGTCTCTCTTCAGCGTACCAAAATTTACATAAATTAGTTGCTAGAATCATTGTTGCAAGTTGGCAACTCATAATGTTCATACTTTTGTTTCATTGATTAGGGGCCTAGTGTTTATTTTTGCTAACTAAACCTATTCTGCAGCTTTTGCCGACATCAATGTTTCCGTTGGCTTGTTATACGCATTACATACAATCAGGGATTCAATTCTGTTGTTAATTATCTAAGCAACGTCCAGTGCAAAGTGGAAATTACTTACCAGGATCGATACCATCAGTGTTTGGGGCTTCAAACACAGGCGCCAAAATAGTCATGTTTGTGATTGTGACATTTTTGCAGTCATATGGGTGAAGTGTCCAAAAGGGAGAATCACGCAAAGTGATGTTGGCAAAAACAACGTCACTGGACCACATTATCTGCACCAGTGGTCCTCTCGTGTGGTTAAGCAGTTTTTGGCGATACTTCTTCCACCACGTTTGCCCCTGCCCATTGATGCTGCCGTTATTCCCTGCAATCCATTATTGATTTAGCTAATAATCAAACAGTTGACAGAACAAGCTCTCAGGTTTGACAAAGAAAAAACAGAATATTAGCCACATAAGTTAATTAATATGAGTGAACAGACAAAAAGGCTTTGATTATCTAATACATGAACTTAGTCAATTCTTGCCCCGAGACTACACTTAAAGCCTTTGTCCACTCCCAGCTAAGAGAGACATAAACTTTCAACAGCTTATAGAGATATCATGTTTAGATTTCGCTTTTTCCAGGAAGTGCCTAATCTCAATTCAACTAGACCTTAAATAGTAGAGTTGTGGTTCTTCATCTAAGTGGCCTTAAAACGTTAAAAACCTCATTTTAGCCTCTACCTAAAAAGCTTAACGAAAATAGTGCAGTGCACCGCATATTCTTAACAATCATTAAATTAAGACAAAATTGCATGCATCCACAAAAAGAGTCACATCCAAACTCCGTTAATACGAGAGATAACAATTTTACAAATCAACAGACGAACCTGTGACAACAACATCTCTGAGATTCTGTCCATGAATGAAACTTCCATAACGAGGTCCAGGATGCTCTCTTCCATAGCCATATGAAGGTAAAGGTGGAAGCAAAGGCCAATACTTTTCATCCTAAATATGTTTAACATGAAAAATAATGTTATTAATAATAACAAAAGAAGACAGAAGCTGCCTCAAGTTAAGCTTCTTGGACTCTATAAGACCAATTCAATAGTGAAGCAAATGATGAAATTAATCAATGGAACTCTAGCTGAGCAACGAAAACAGGCAACCTCAAGCTACCCTCTCTCTCTCCACTCAACTTAACTTGCAACGTCCAAGTCTCAACCAAAATCAATAGTAGTAATAAACCATTCCAAAAACAAGAAAGATCCAAATAAAGGTAGTATTTGTCTCAGTGTTAAAGTCACCAAACTCCCCAAAAAAATCTAAATTTTCCATAAACCCATTTCAGAGTAACAATCTCTGCATACAAAAATCACATATTTGCCTACACTGTGAAAATTAGAAACCCTAAAACTCATCCCAAACATACAGATCACATCACACTTGACAATTACAAAGCAGGAACAGAAGCAGAGCAAAACTAATAGTGTATCAACCCATTTCAGAGTAACAATCTCTGCATCAAAAAAATCACATCTTTGCCTAAACTATGAACCCCAAAACTCATCCCAAACATATAGATCACACTTTAAAATAACAAAGCAGGAGCAGAGGCAGAGCAAAAACGAACCTGAAGAGCAAGAATCTCAGCATCCTGATGAAGAAAAAGCGTCATGTAACTAGTGAGATTAAACGGAGCAGTGAGCCACCTACCAGGAGGAACATTAAGCTGTCCACCTCCTTTCTTAGAAAACTTCGAGATCTTATAAATAGCTTTCTCAAAAGCCTCAGTGTTAACCGTAACACCATCACCAACAGCACCAAAGTCCGTAAGATTGAAAGATACAGGTCTAAGCTTCGGAAACCCTCCGGCTGCGGCGGCGGTTGAAGACCACCGGAAAAAGGAGAAACCAGTCCCGACGTTGTAGAGATTTGTCGAAACGCCGCCGAATTGCCAGATGAATAAGGAAGCGAAAGTGGCGATCCAGAAAACAGTGACGAGAGACTTGTGGGAAGAGAGGAATCGTCTCGGTAAGGGATCTACCATGATGGGGTTTGTGAGATTCAGAACATTTGGAGGATTTTTAGATTCGGAAGAGATTTGTTGGATTGGGTGAGATGTTATGAGTCAGGATTTGTTGTGTGTTGCGAGATTTGAGTGAATCTTAAGGGAAACACAAACTTTGTGTGTTTGATTTGTTTGTTGAAACTAAACGTCTCGGACTCTCAGAGAAAGCGATTGAGTGAGAGAGAAGTGTAATCAAACCGAAATAGAAATAGGAAAATGTTGAACCGAAATCAAACCGAGCCATAATTGATTTTATTATAAACCGTTTTATTATATTATTACCCTCTCTCTGATTTACAAAGAATGTCATTATAGAGTTTTATCTTTATTTTACAAAGAGTGTCATTTTGTATTTTCTATGCATTTTAAACACTAAATTTCTTAATTTTATCCTTAATCTAAAAATAATTTAACAATTTAACATTTATTAAATACGTATAATTTGATTTTCTCTTAATTTGTATGAAATGTGTCAAAGTGACACTCTTTGTGAAACATAGGGAGTACAAAATAGGAAAATGTTAGATTATGTTGTTACTGCTTACATTTATTGTAAAATTTGTTGATATTGGTTAAATGAATTTTAAATTCCATCCAAATCTCTTGTTATTCAAGTTTGTTTTATAATGATTCATTTTGTATTCCAGTTAAAGTGTTTTGTTATTAGTTTATGGATTCTCTACAATCTTACTCACAAAAACACAACTTTCATGTTATCTCAAATATTTCCTAAAATTTGTACAATTTATGTTAATGAGACACCAACTGATATAATTTACACATACCAAATATATTTATATATATGAATTTATGTAAATGAGAACACCAACTTAAATGATATACACATACCAAAAATATATATGCATTTATGTAAATGAGAACACCAACCAAAATGATATACACATACCAATTATATATATATATATATATATATAATATTATGTAAATAAATGAAAAACAAATAAACTAATGGAGAATTTCAAAAATACCCCTTTTCATATACATTTTTTTACCCCATTTTCAAACTTTACCAATAAAAAACCACTAAAAATGTTGAAATTTATCCAAATATGTGTGTATGATTATAAATATATACACAAAGTATCTTTGTATGTGTATAATACTTTATATATCTTTCATAAATAACATAAAATAACTTTTAAAGACCTTATAGAACTTATAAAAACGATTTAAAACCATTTAAAACATTTTAAAATATTTGTATTGGATCTCCTAGTAGTAGTTATCATATAGAAGTACGTTATAAACTATATAAAACTTTATAATTTTTTATATATAAGCAGAGGTATTTTTGAAAATGAATAGATAAAGGAAGTATTTTTTAAAAAGGTACACCAAAAGGTTTTTTCTCAAAAATGCTCAAAACAACTAATGTTAGGTTAGTTTTATTTTAAAAATGTATTTGTTTTGAAATAGGATGAGAATGGATCAATGTTTTTAAGTTTGTACCAAACTGTTCGGTCTAACCGCAACTTGACTGATAGTTTGGTCCGACTTACCTTTAAAAACCAGATAGGTAAGAAATTGGACAAAACCGCTAAAATCACGCAAACCAGTGGCTAAACGGGTGGTTAAATCAAATCCAAACACATTATTTTATAACACACTTTATAACATAGTTTGGTCCAACTTATCTTTAAAAATCAGATAGGTAAAAAATTGGACAAAATCGCTAAAATCACGCAAACCAGTTGCTAAAAGGGTGGTTGGATCAAATCCAAACACATTATTTTATAACACAATTCAAAACTCAAACCAAATTATGGCTGAGTCCAAAGGCGGTTGCTAACTGGGAGGTCGATGCAAGCTTTTTTTTTTTTTTGCTAAATCTCTCTTAGAGTGGTTGTTTGAGAATTTGGAAAGGGATTAGGATTGGTCCAGTCAGTTCAGAGTGAGAGATTAATGTATACAGAAATGGAGATGCGGTAATGTTTTTGGAGTTTTTGGAAAATGTAGGAATGGAGTGAAGTTTTTGAGGGAGCTGTCAAAGGAGGTCGGAAACGCGCACATAGTCAATGAAAGGGAGGTTCAAGGCGGGGTAAGAGTCAAAGGGATGATTTCATGGTCAAAACTGTGTGAAGGATGGGTGAAGCTAAATACGTATGGTGCAAATTGGAATTGGGGATGGGGATGGGGATGGGTGGGAGGGTTTGGGCTTCATATTGGAATTTGTAGTACACCTATCGATTAGTTGTGGGGGTGTATTGCAGGTTACTTATTGCTTGGGACCGAGGCTTTAGACGGGTAGAGGTAGAGGTGGATTCGGAAATAGTAGTAGAACTTCTTCATTCCAGGATTAGCACAACTCATCTTTGGCTTTCCTGGTACACTTGTGCCATAACTTTTTATACAAGGGACTGGTTAGTCCCGTTTATTCATGGGTAAAGAGAGGCTAATCGTCTAGCAGATGAGTGAGTGAACTATGCGTTTTCTTTAGATATATGGTTGCATTTATTTGATTCTTGTCCGGATGTGGTTAGCCCGATTATGTTAGAGGATGCTAATAGAATTGTGTTTCCACGTCGAATTCTTAAGTAATTTTGATTGTTTATTTATATAGAGGAGACTTTTTGTTCACCGAAAAAAACTCAAAACCAAATTATAGACAAATATTGCTATTTATAGAAGGAATCCTTAATATATTTTTTAAAAATACTCAATGTAGAATATGATGTTATTAATCAAGCATGGCTTATTTTTTGAAAAAGTTCATTTTGTTTATCAAAAAACCAACCAATTTTTTTTTAAGCCACAACATAATTAAATATTCCTATAAATATTTAATTCAATTCAGACCAATAATTCTAACAATAAGATAACCTCAAAAAATCCAGAAATTATATCATGCTTGGAAACAGTGTGCTAAAATATGGTCAGTACGGGCGTATGTACACTATACGGTGGGGAATCATATTCTATTATAGCTATACAATAGTTCAATATGGTCAAAGCTATACGGTCCATAATATGGCGTATATACAGTAAAACCTCTATAAATTAATACTCGATAAATTAATAATCTCTATAAATTAATAAATTTCTCCGGTCCCAACTTGGGACCAGTGTAATTTTAGGCACATTTCGATAAAATAATAAGATAATAAATTTTTTGAAAATCCTTTGTAAATATATGGTCCCATCAATATTATAAATTAATAATTAGGTAAAATTTTCAAAAAATATGTATATATAGACACATTAGTTTTTGTTAGATTTTATTTCTAATATTTTACTATATGAAAAATAGTTAGCATTCTCTTTTAATACATAATAATTATTGTTTTATTTGTAATTGATTATATAAAATACTAATTATCATGATTAAATCTTATTTTTAAATATTGTCTTGAAAATATTTTCCAAATTAGGAATATCTCTCTATAAATTAATAATTATTAATTTATCGATAAATTAATACCTCTATAAATTAATAGATTTTCATGGTCCCAACATTATTAATTTATAGAGGTTTTACTGTACATCATATATACGGTAAATTCCGCATGTACGGCGTTTTTTTGAAAAATCAAAACCAAAACTATTCATTTTTATTTTAATATTTTGAGTTTTTTTATTAAAACAAAATTACTAGTTTTGCGGAGTAAATTAATTATGGAAAAAAATTTATCATCATTTTCTATTATTTTCATACATATTAGTTATTCAGAATATTTATAATATTTTGTAAAAGTGAAAATTTTAAATATTTTGGTATTCATGTGTAGTATTGATCATGTTTTGTTTATATATATTTTTTTTTGTTTCTTTAATTCTATATACATATCTTAACATTGTAAGGTTAAGTGTGGTACTTGTTTAAAACCGGTTATTGACATTTGTGTTGGTTTAATATTGGTTTAGTATTGTAAAGTTTAATCAGCATATATAAGCTGACTAAACAGAGATTAGAACGTTAAGTGTTTGTAACAAACTTTTCTCAGATTAATAAAGGTGTTCTTCTCTCTTTTCTCTCATGTTGATTCTCCGATTTGGTTTTCCGATCTAACTTCAATATGGTATCAGAGCCAGGTTACACAATGCTTGAATCTTCCGCTTCTTAATCCATTATCGGAGTTATCTTGTTTACGCATCTTTGAGAATGAGTTGTTCAAACGCTTCTTTCAGCTGGATTTTGTGTATCGCCATTATTGCGATTTCGGAGCTGTTTACTGCAATTTCTGTTGGTTTCGTGCTTCTTCTTCTTTTTGTTTCCTTCGATTGATCTTTGTGTGATTGGGATTTCTTCTTTGCTCATCACATTTTCTTGAAATTTTCATTTTCTTAATCTTTCAAATGGTGACTCCGGTGAATCGGGAATCTGGTAATGGTGAAACAACACGGTTTCCGACGGATCAATATGATAATCCGTATTATTTGAAAAACAATGATCATGCTGGATTGATTCTTGTTTCTGATAGACTTACGACTGCATCTGATTTTCATTCTTGGAAACGTTCTGTTATGATGGCATTGAATGTCAGAAACAAACTTGGTTTTGTGAATGGAACGATTGTGAAGCCAGCTGAAGACCATAGAGATTATGGAGCTTGGACTCGTTGCAATGATATTGTATCTACTTGGTTGATGAATTCAGTTTCGAAGAAGATAGGTCAGAGTTTACTCTTTATACCTACTGATGAAGGAATTTGGAATAACATTTTGTCTAGGTTTAAGCAAGGTGATGCACCTAGAATTTTTGCTATTGAGCAGCGTTTAAGCAAGATTGAACAGGGTTCTATGGATATTTCCACTTATTACACTGAGTTGCTTACCTTATGGGAGGAGTATAAGAACTATGTGGAGCTACATGTTTGTACTTGTGGAAGATGTGAATGTGATGCTGCTGCAAAATGGGAAGTTCTTTAGCAGAGAAGTAGAGTTACTAAGTTTCTGATGGGATTAAACGAGTGTTATGATCAGACAAGGCGTCATATCCTTATGCTTAAGCCAATTCCATCAATGGAGGACGCTTTCAACATATTAACTCAAGATGAGAGGCAAACAACGATTAAGCCACTCTCTCGTGTTGATAATGTAGCTTTCCAGGCGGTAGCACCAATAGATACTGACATGGATAATGCTGCTTACATTGCTGCATACAACACTAATCACCAATTCAGAAGCCTGTTTGCACTCACTGTGGGAAAGTGGGGCATACTATACAGAAGTGTTTTAAACTTCATGGTTATCCACCAGGTTATAAGACGGGTTCTGGTTCAAATTTTAAAGGGAATGCTGCTACAGGACAGCAAATGCAACAGGTCCAGCAAGTGCAACAGTTGCAACCTCAAATGCCAGTATCTCAGTTTCAGCCTCGGATGGTTTCTTTTCAGCCTAGAGCGCAAATGAGTCCTTATGAATCAATGCATAAAGCTAATGCAATTGCTAATGTTTACTCTGAGCCTACCCTAGTTGTTACAGATTTTGGTACTTATGTTCCAAATGCTCAACCTCAATATTTGCCTCCTCAGTCTCAATCGATGCCTTATGTTGAGACTGATGGTTCAATCCAGAATCTTCAGAATCTTACATCACAACAGATTCAACAGTTGGTTCATCAGTTTAATTCTCAGATACAATCTTCACCTCAAGAATCTGATGTTGCTATAGCTGCAGTTACTGGTACTCATGGCACAGCCACTATTTCTGAACATGGTTTAATGGCAAAAACATCTACATCTGGTACTGTTTCTTTTCCTTCTACTAGTCTTAAGTATGAGAATAATAATCTCACTTTTCAAAATCATTCACTCTCTTCTTTACAACAATTTTTGCCTCATGATGCTTGGATAATAGATAGTGGAGCTTCTAGTCATGTTTGTTCAGACTTAGATATGTTTAGGGAATTGAGACCAGTATCTAATGTTACAGTTACTCTTCCTAATGGTACTAGGGTTCCTATCACACACACATGCACAATATGCATTTCATCAGTTTTAATTTTGTATGATGTTTTACATGTTCCGGATTTTAAATTTAATTTGATTAGTGTGAGTTGCTTGGTTAAAACTTTGAACTGTTCAGCTCATTTTTACATTACTTGTTGTTTGATTCAGGAACTTACACGGGGCTTGATGATTGGGAGGGGTAAACTTTACAACAACCTCTATATTCTTGACAAAGAAGATCACTCCCTCTCTTCATCTCTTCCTGTGGTCTGTCCTGTTTCTGATTCTAAGCTTGCTGATGGGGTTCTTTGGCATCAACGTTTAGGTCATCCCTCACCAGTTGCTTTGCATAAACTTGTTAGTCATATTCCTTCTTTAAAAAGTGTATCTTCTGCTGTTTCGGATTGTAAGATTTGTCCATTAGCAAAACAGAAAAGATTAGCCTATGTTTCACATAATCATTTAGCTTTACATCCGTTTGATTTAGTGCATATTGATGTATGGGGTCCTTTTAGTACTGAGTCTATTGAGGGTTTTAAATACTTTCTTACACTTGTTGATGATTGTACTAGAGTTACTTGGGTTTATATGATGAGAAATAAAAGTGATATTACTGTTATTTTCCCAACTTTTCTGAAAATGGTTTCAACTCAATATAATTCAATAATCAAGGCAATCAGGACTGACAATGCACCAGAATAAGCTTTTAATGATCTTGTTAAGGTGACTGGAATGATGCACTATTTTTCCTGTCCTTATACACCACAACAGAACTCTGTGGTTGAAAGGAAACATCAACACTTGTTGAATGTTGCAAGATCTTTACTTTATCAGTCTAATATTCCTTTGTTATACTGGAGTGGTTGTGTGAATATAGCTGTTTTCTTGATTAATAGATTGCCTTCAGCCTTGTTGAATGATAAATCACCTTTTGAATTACTGTTAGGGAAATTGCCAGATTATTCATTGCTTAAAAATTTTGGTTGTTTATGTTATGTTTCTACATATACAAAAGATAGAAATAAGTTTTCTCCTAGAGCTAAACCTGGTGTCTTCTTAGGTTATCCTTCTGGATACAAAGGTTATAATCTATTCTGATTTCTAGAAATGTTATATTTCATGAACATGATTTTCCTTTTGAAACAAGTGAGTTTTTGCATAAATCAGTTGATATGTTTCCTAATACTATACTTCCTTTATCTGTTCCTTTACATTTTGTTGAAACTTTCCCAGTAGATGATCTTAGGAATGTTAATAATTCTGCATCTGCATCTGTATCTCGTCCTGCACACACACATAGCAGTCCTAGTACCATTCATTTATCATCTACTCATGTACCAATAGATACTAGTCTTAGTATTGTAAACATAGCTAGGCCTAAACGAACGACAAAAGCTCCTAGCTATCTGACTGAGTATAATTGTTCCTTAGTTCCTTTTCTTTCCACTTTACCACCAACAACTACTAGTACTACTATATCTACACCAAAAATAATATCTCCCCCTACCCAGAAACCTCATACTACCCCATATCCGATTACTTCTTTTGTTTCCTTTGACAAATTAAATCCTTCCTATACATCATACATATGTTCATATAGTCTTGAAACATAACCAAAAACATTTAGCCAAGCTATGAAATCTGAAAAGTGGACTGGTGCTGCTAATGAGGAACTTGCTGCTTTGGAATTGAATCATACATGGGATATAGAGTCTTTGCCTCCAGGAAAGAATGTAGTTGGCTGTAAATGGGTTTTCACCATTAAATATAACCCTGATGGCACATTGGAGAGATATAAAGCAAGATTGGTGGCACAAGGTTTCACTCAGCAAGAAGGTCTTGATTATCTTGACACTTTTTTTCCTGTAGCTAAACTAACTAGTGTGAGATATATACTAGCTCTAGCTGCTGCAAAAGGATGGAGCTTAACCCAAATGGATGTATCCAATGCTTTTCTTCATGAAGAGCTTGATGAAGAAATTTTTATGTCTTTACCGCAAGGATACACGCCAAAGGACAGAGTCTTGCCTCCTAATCCGTATGTCGTCTCAAGAAATCTCTATATGGTCTTAAACAAGCGTCACGCCAATGGTATAAGAGATTTTCGTCGGTATTGCTGGGAGCTAACTTTGTCCAATCACATGCTGATAATACATTGTTTGTGAAAGTCGATTCACAAGCTTTTATTGCAGTTTTGGTATACGTTGATGATATAATGATTGCCAGTAATAATGACACTGCGGTTGAAGCTTTGAAAACATTGTTGAGGTCTGAATTCAAGATTAAATATTTAGGACCAGCAAGGTTTTTTCTTGGTTTAGAGATAGCCAGATCTTCTTCAGGAATATCAGTTTGTCAGAGGAAATATACTCAAAATCTGTTGGAAGATACAGGTCTATTAGGATGCAAGCCAAGTTCTATTCCAATGGATCCTAATCTACATTTGACCAAAGATATGGGAGAGCTATTGTCTAATCCGAGAGCTTACAGAGAACTGATTGGAAGAATGTTATATCTGACTAATACGAGACCAGATATCACTTTTTCGGTTCATCAACTCAGCCAATTTATCTCAGCACCTACAGATGTGCATCTTCAAGCAGCACATAAAGTTCTGAGGTATCTAAAAGGGAATCCGGGTTTAGGACTAATGTATTCTGCAAATACAGAGATATGCCTTAATGGTTTTGCAGATGCTGATTGGGCAAATTGCAAAGATACAAGACGATCAGTTTCTGGTTATTGCATGTATCTTGGTACTTCACTCATCTCATGGAAGTCAAAGAAACAAACAGTAGCAAGTCGAATTAGCACATAATCAGAATATCGAAGTCTAGCTAATGCTACTTGTGAGCTGATCTGGTTACAACAGTTACTTAAAGATCTGCATGTTACAATGACTTGTCCAGCGAAGTTATTTTGTGATAACAAGTCGGCTCTGCACATTGCTATGAATCCAGTGTTTCATGAAAGGACTAAGCATATTGAGATCGATTGTCACATTGTTCGGGATCAGATTAAAGCTGGAAAACTCAAGACTCTACATGTTCCATCTGGAAACCAACATGCAGATATCCTCACTAAGCCACTTCATCCAGAACCATTCTATACTCTGCTCCAACAAATGTCATTGTCAAGTCTCTATCTTCCAAATCCAACTTAAGGAAGATATAGACTTGAGAGGGGCATATTAGAGTATCTGGTACTTGGTTTAAAACCGGTAATTGACATTTGTGTTGGTTTAATATTGGTTTAGTATTGTAAAGTTTAATCAGCATATATAAGCTGACTAAACAGAGATTAGAACGTTAAGTGTTTGTAACAAACTTTTCTCAGATTAATAAAGGTGTTCTTCTCTCTTTTCTCTCTCCGATTTGGTTTCCGATCTAACTTCAATAAAGTGCAAGTAAAGGCCTTCAAAAAACTATGACCAGTCCTTCGTGAAGACTCACATTAGTCACTTGAGATGTGACCGGTCCTCAAGGCAGTTTCACACCGGTCATACGCCTTATGACGAGTCTTGTGGACGACTTTTTTAGTCGGTTGTAAAATCAGTTTCGTAACTAGTATTGAATTGATTCTTCTTCTAGGATTATTTTTACTCTTCTTGATTTCCACAGAGTCCAAGATCTCCAACGGAGGCCAACTTTATGTTGTCTATTTGGCCTTTAATCTGTAAAGTCTACTTGAATCCTAAACTACTTGACAATCGCCCTTTAAGTCTTGAAATCACATCAAATGCTTCCTAAAACATATGAAAACAATAGCTAAAATAGTTAAAAACATGATGTTATTAGTAGTGATTTGTGCGGAATCTCTATTTAGGTCAAGTATTTCCATTATTGGATCATTCAACTACTAATGATATTGGAAAAAGAAACTAGTACATTTCTGTTGAGAATCGTAGACCCCAATTCATCTCTATATGAATCGCAGACCACGACTTTGTCCCAACTCCTCTTTGGATCATAGATCAATAACAAGACATAAACATAACACATAGATTTAACGAGTTCCCCTCTGTGTGAGGGTACATCTCGTGTGGAAACCTTCTCCCACAAATATTCACTATCAATTAGTTAGAGAGCAACAACAAAGAAACATGAAGAAGAAAACATAGGTAAAGACACATGTTCACAGTCTCATATGCTTTTCTTCTTCCTCTCTCTCTCTGTCTCTGATTCAACTCTCCCTTCCATGTATCACAACAGAAACACCTCACTGAACCCCCAAGAAACAGCTCCACCCTTTGTCTCTCATCAAAATGTCATGAAGACACCTTAAGCCTAGACTAGGTCATGTTCAGCTCTCAGTCCTCGGCTCCAGCCTAGCTACTAGTCCTTTCTTAGGGTTCAGAGCACTGCTCCATGCTCTCTGCACAACGCAATGTGCATGTTCTTTGCACAACGCCATGTGCATGTTCTCTGCACAACGCCATGCGCATGCTCTCAACACTGCGCCCTGCATTATGCCTTGCGGCTACAACTAGCCTCCAATGTGTGACCTTTTGCATACAGCATACATCATACCTGTTTCTTCAACCCTAGTTTCTCTTATATAGTGAAATCCTAGTGCTTATGTTGGTTTACTCTTGCAGCATACACAACTCGGATCCTGTATAGACTACACACTAGTATAGACCCAATTCACTAATTTAGACCAAAGAAGCCCATATGAAGCAAACAAATACAACAATTTCCATTGTACATATCGTAAAAAGCCATCTTAAACAACACAAAACATGGACTTATATACATCAAAAGTTCCTTGAAGAATTAAAACAACTAAGATGATTACATAACTTAATTTTGACAAAGAAAAATGGAGACAGTGAAAAGAAGAAAAAAAAACTATGAAACAACAAAAAATTGTTTCGCTCTTTGCCTCTTCCTAATGAACACACAAAAGAAAGAAATGATTTTTTTTGTTACCAAAAAATATCTCCTTGTTGTTTTAGTTGAGCTAGAGGAAAATATTGTTTCATTCTCTATTTACGCAACATACCATTTTCCTCATGTGTTTGTTTATCTACATATTCCAAAGGCTGTGTTTGCATTGCTGAATCTCCTCAAAGTGTTACTCGTTCTATCCTTCTAACAATCTCCTTCATGTTATTTCTTTCATTAGGGTTACTTGCGATACAAGCAGCCCCAATCCGCAACAATTCCACCATTTGTTGCATTGAATCAGTATTACTTGCTAACTCCGGATCAATAAGCTCTTCTTCTTTATGTTGCGCGATTGAAGATTGTACCCATTCGACTATATCCGTCCCTCCTTTCCCGTTATTTAGGTATTGAGAAGGGAATTTTCCTGTCATGACCTCAAGAAGGATGATTCCGAGGCAATAAACGTCTGATTTTGGGGATATTTGCTGGTTTTGTACGAATTCGGGGGATTTAAACGCGAACAAAGCCTGCGAGGCGTTATTTGGCTGAAGAAGTGGTAGGAAAGCGTAATCGCTAATCAATGGCTCATAGGTTTCACTTAGTAGAACATTGCTTGATTTGAGATTGCCATGTGGGAGATCATACGACGCAAACTCCTCATGTAAAAAGTTCATTCCTCGTGCCACTCCTTGTATGATCTTCAACCTTATTGTCCAAGTTAGCTCTGAATGATAAACCCCACGATCTCCTAAAAAATTCCAAATGATATAAAAATGTGTCACAACAAATATAAAGATGCGCGTCTAAATCAATCAAGAAAAGTTTAAAGATGTAGTAGTACCATGCAAAACATAGAGTAGACTACTTTTAGGCATATATTCAGAGACAACAAGCTTCTCTTCACGACGGTAGTGATAAGCTAGAGGGGTAAGAACGTTAGGATGTCGAAGTTTCCCAAACCGTTGCATCTCAATATCAAATGCATCACGAGCAAGTTTATTCATATCCCTAATCCTCTTCACAACTACAGATAGTCCGTTAGCCATCACTGCCTTATAGGCTGATCCAAGGCTACCATTTCCTAGCACCTCGGCTGCAGCCTTCATAAGATCAGGTAAACCAAAAGAGCCTTTCTCATTGTTGACCATTATAATGTCTCCCATGCTGCCTCCTCCTGGACCACCTCCTCCACCTTTACCGTGCGATGAACCTTTCTTAGAGGAACCATCCGCGTTGCTCCTCTTCTTGCTTGACTCGATAGGCTTCTTTATTGAGTCTGGTACACGGACTTCCACGCTTTCTTGATCGCTTAGATGATCTTTGCCGAGCATTCGAAACTCGGGCTGTCTCTTTTTCTTCAATCTAGTTATAATTGCCACAAGAATCAAGAATAATACAAGAAACAAAATGACCATAAAGATAGCTTTCTTCGTGACATCATTGTTCTCTCCTGTTGATGAAGGTTGCTCCTCACATTTTGTATTTAGAGGTGGTCCGCAAAGCTTTTGATTCCCTTCGAACTTCATTTGTAGATTTTTCCTCTCAGCAATGCTTTTTGGGATCTCTCCTTCTAGGTTATTATTGGAGAGGTCAAGAGATTTTAAAATCTTGTTTCCTTCTGTAAGAGGAGGTATCTCTCCAGAGAACTGGTTGCCTTGCATGTGAAGCTCCTCAAGACCTGAGAGTTGCATCAAAGAAGCAGGGATTTTTCCAGATAATCGATTGTTATCGAGAAAAACTCGCTTGAGCTGTGGGGTTTCCTTGAAGAAATCATCAGAAATCTCACCAGAAAAGCTATTGTTTGAGAGCAATAGTGATTTTAAGCCAGGCAGCTTGTAGAAAAGAGGGAGTGGACCTGAGAGGAGATTGTTGTCAAGCCTGATCGTCCTTAGATTCGGAAGATCTTTTAAATCCTCGACATTGATGGTCCCCGAGAGACCGAGTCGGGTAACGTGAATTCCCGAGACTGTTTGACCCTTTTGGCAATAGATCCCAAACCATTTTCCATTGCATGGATCGGTTCCTGTTCTCCATGAATTCAAATCTCCTTTAGTTATATTCACCGAGCTCTTGAACCGCACGAGCGGTTCAGATTCACTAACGTGTTGCAAAGAAGGGGTGAATGAGATACAAAAGAGGATGAAGCAAATAAATAGAACAGCAGTCATGGGTTAATGAGAAGTAGAGGAGATGATGCTACTCGTGTTGTTGTTTTGGTCTTGCCTAACAATCTAATAACGACGACAATGTTAAAAATTATGATGTATGGAGTTGTTTCTTCGTCTAGGAATGTTGTTTTGATTGGATTTTGTTTATGATTCAACAGCTTGGACATTGTTTTTGAGCATCTGCGAGGAAAGAGAGACATATTTTCTTGTCTTTGAGGGGGGTTAGCTTGTAAAGTTTAGGCTTCCACTTTCCAAAAATAGATTTTTTTTTATTTTACTAAATTAAAGATTGTTTATTTTCTTTTTATTATAATGAATTGAGAGCTCAGAGACTTTCTTGGAGAATTTCTTATGACCATGGTTTTTTTTAAGGTTTTGACCACAATTATCGGGGATTTTTTTTGTTGTGTGCGTACGTCAAGTAATACTTTAAATATAAATTATCTTTATTGTTATTGATGTTTTTAATACAAGTTGTAGATTTCACATAATCATATGAGTTTGCTAGAAAACATAAATGGAAATGTTATTTTTTCTTTGCTACATTCTTAATTTTAGTTTAATTTGAATTAATTAGATTTATTTTCTATAAAAACTAAAGAAAAGAAAAGAAAGCATGAATAAGACATTACGATCATACTGAACTTAATTACTAAATAGATTTTTTTTTTTCACATATTACTACCTTTCACACTCTTTCTAATCTTAGAACATCATTGCTATTTTAAAAATCCAAATATCCATTTTTATGCTGATGAAGATAGTTGATGAATGTTATTTTTACAAGTGAATACATTTACACTTTAACAAATTTTAGTGTCTAATTCATTCTGTTATCATCTCTTCATAAATATTATTTTTCCAACAAAATATTATTCTTCAAGATTCCTAATATATTTAATATAATTATAGAGGTTTTACAACGTTCAAGCTGGTCATTCAAACATTCCAATCCAGCATTTGTAAACATTCCAAATCCACCAAATCCTCGGGTAAATTATTTACATATTAGATTTCTAAATACAAGATATTCTGATAATAATCTAATGCAAAAAAAACCCATAACCTAATGTCATATAACACTCGCATATTACCACCAAGCTACGTTTACATGTTCATCGATTAGTGTAAAAAAATTGTATATATCTTATATAATAAATTAAGGTTTTCTCTAAACACATGCTTTAAGAAGTTGGTAAGTGACACTCCTCATTTTGACATATGTCATTTTTTTTGGTCAACAATAGTAAGATTAACTCAAAAAAACCAATTGTCGGGACATTTGTACGTTTACATACTTTACTGGATGAGGATTGGTACGAACCTTGCATGCCAGAGAGTACGCTTTTACATTCAAATTTCTTGGTATAAGAGAGAAAGAAAAAGTTGAAATTTTTTTCCTATCAGCTGCGATATCATCTAGGTAAACAGAGAACGTTGGCCACTCGGAGGGCGAAGACACCATTTTCACCATGTCTGAATAGTTGGTAAAAAACACCACGTCTCAGTGGTCATGGCCAATCATGCATCTCATCACACCAAAGCTTCTATTTCTGAATGGAGTGGAGAAAAACTTTGTCGGAGATTTGACGATCCCATTGTAGAAGAATCCTCGTCTTGCTGTATGATAAAATGCTCAAGAAGCACATCCAAACGCCAAAATTTTTTTGACAATCAATTAAATATCTTAGTTGTAAAGACAGATCCACATGGGACATGTTACTCAAAGCTGGTCTCAGGAATTGGGAGGGTGTCTAAGGGTCCGTCCAAACAGAGATGGTATCCCCCGATCCAACCCGTTTAATAAGCCCTCCAATAACCCGTGTTAGCCCTGAGACCATCTATCCGAGATCCGTGATCTGATCCGAGATCCGTTGCGATCCGCTCCGAAAAACCAGATATCCGGATAGGACAGAGCCGGATCTGGATAGTGAAATAACGGATCCGGCCGGATACGAATAGTGGAAAATTTTAGCTCGGATATCCGGATCCGACATTTTTAATATTTTAATAATACTTTTAATAATATTTATTATTATTTATATTATATAAAAATGTTTATGAGTAAAATTTATTCCCCCATTTTTTTCTTTTTATCATTGATTTTATAACTAGGGATCAAACTAAAATAATTTGAGAAGCATAATATAATATTTGTTTTATGTTTGTTGTACCATATAGTTTTATAGTTTTAAAATGTCACTAAAAATCACATAAAAATATAAAAAACTCCACGGTTTCTTTGCATTTTCCTAAATCCACAAGGGAAGATCAAGTACTAGATTATTTAAAAACAACATGGTCATACAAATGGTAAACTCTTAGTTTTGAAAAATTAGGGAAAAGATTTGATACTTTAACAAGTTTGTGTCTTTATGTTTACAATTAATTTGTACATGCAGCTTGAGGTTGAAGATTCATACCTTTTATGCAGACAAGATAACATGTGTGGTAAAGTTACCCTTTCTAACGATGTGTGGAACATCAAAACAATGATTTCTATTTTGCAGAGTCCTTGTATTTGCTTAGTCAGATTGAAAAATTAAAAATTAAAATATTAATCCAAAATTCTTTTTAGTTTATTTCTCACATCTACCCAACATATGATTCTAGAAACCAGCAAAAAGAGACAGTTTCCTATCTCAACTTATATATGTTACCATCATGTACTAGATGATTAGAAGATAAGGAGAGGTTTATGAGCTGCCTCCTTGCGAGGCGATTTTTTAGCAAAGTCCAATAAACCATATGAAAATTAACTTATCCACAAAAACCTTAAGAAGTTTGTTTCGAGAGAAAACGACCTCCTCTCAATTCAAGTTTTGTCTACTGAGAGTATACACCGAAATAAGGGTTAGTTAAATTTGTATACTCATGAGACTAAAGAATTAAGAGCAAAGGCATCGATTATGACTGGTTTTGTTCCCAAAAAAAAAAAGGTTTAATTCTTTTTTTTTTAGATTTTAAAAAAAAACAAAAACAAAAAGGTAACAAATTGCGGGCCGCCACGTGTCAGTGAGGCCCGCGAATAGAGAAAAGCAAGGCAAAGGACCGTCCCGTTTCTACGTACGTCCTTCAAATTTTTTTTTTAATTTAATTTTGAGAAAAGAAATAGGTGGGACTTTGGCTATGTATGCTGATGTACATGGTCTAAGAGCATGATTATCGGCGTATTCAGCCATGGTCCCAACCTTTTTCATGATTTAATTTAAATCTAAAAGTCTCAATAACCGAAGAAACGTTCGTAAAAACGGGACAATTGAAGCTGGTCCTTCGGCCTACGTGTCATGGGCTTATTGGTCGTGAGTTAAGTGGGTATAGAATTTTTTTTGGGGTTGATCGTTTTCTTTTCTCCTCTTCTTCTCTCTCTCTCGACTCTCTCGACTGCGACCAAAGGCGAGTGAAGAACCGATTTAAATAGACCTCGGCTTTCCGGCGAAAGAAAGGTTCAATCATCAGCTCCGTCCTCTTCTCCGTCTTATTTATCTTCTGGGCAAAGCAGAACCCTAAGCGTCGCCGGAAAGCAAACCCTAATCGGTAAGAATAGTAAATCCGAAAAGAAAATTTGGGGGTTTTTATTTATTATGGTTGATCTTCTTTGTAGAGGTGATTTTTAAAGAGTTAAAAATGAATTTATTTGTTCTTCTTTGTATGCCAAAAGAGTTACCCTAAAAATCCTTGGCAGAGAGAAAGAGAGACCAACGACCAAGAAGATGATTATCCCTGTTCGTTGCTTCACTTGTGGAAAGGTAAGTTTTTTTTTTTTTTTTTTTTTTTGAATGAATGTAAAATTTATTCAACCAAAAAACCTTTGTTTTTACATTATATGCAACTGTAAATTGAGAAAATTTGAAAGATTTGAACTGAAAGCATTAACTAAAATTGATTAATATCTTGATGCTAACCAAACTCGGAAAACGTCTCCGATATTGAAGCTTCGTTGAGGGGGTGAGAGTGCATAAACGATTTCGTATGACTTGATCAATCATTTTTGTGAGCTGGCCTGAAGGCTTTGGGGCCTCACCGTGGCGCCTACCATTCCGCTCACGCCAAAGCGAATGAAGAGTGGATTGAAAATCGTACCTAATGATGAAGCAGACGTTTGGTTGAAGAAAGCTACCTGACATGAGGGAGAGAACATCCCCATAGTTTGTTGTGTATCGCGCTTGCAATAATCTTCCCGTTAGATTCCTCCAAATGACTGAGGAGTAAGGGCAGGAGAAAAACAAGTGGTCTCTAGTTTCCCAAGGATCGTTACAAAGCACACAACGTGAAGAACCTCCGCCGCTCCATGCCGACATTCTGTCACCAGTGGTTAGGCGATTGAGAGTGGCCAGCCACGTGATGAATGCATATTTAGGAGTAGAATTAGAAAACCAAACTCCCTTAGACCATTCGTCGAAATCTCTTGTCGATATTTACCCCCCAGATCACGCCAAAGAGCAACATCATTAGCCGTACCCAGTTGTCCATTACGAAACTGGTCCAACTCAACCTCGACCTGATTTAAAAACCCCACACGATGATGACGTCTCCGGTGACGAAGTGCCTCAGCTACGGTAGCAGAATGACTGATCCCAAGATCGATGAAACCACGATCTCCAAGAGTCGTGTGTAAGGTCCCAAGGGAGCACCAATTATCAAACCAGAAAGATGTTTTGAGGCCATTTCTGACTTCCATTCTGCAAAATTCCCTAGCTTGGGGCCTGTATTTAAGGAGTTTTCTCCACATCCAGGATCCCGACTTCGTTTTTTTCCCCAAAGGTAAGTTTTTTCCCCTTCGCTATGGTCTTATTTTAGGGGGTTTTACTTCTTCTCTTTAGGGTTTTTGTTACTCTAAATTTGGCTCTCTCTAGCTTGTCCGATTTTACTGGCTGGGTCGAGATTAGATTATTCTTTATAGAGTAATGAAAGAAAAGTATTGAGCTTTACTAAGAAGCTTTCATTTTGTGATTTGCTTAGGTGATTGGAAACAAATGGGATCAGTATCTTGATCTCCTCCAGCTTGACTACACTGAAGGGTAAGCTTCACTTCTTCCTCTATTCATTCCTACTTTGTGTTTGTGTGTGTGTGAAAAGAGTGTAATTTATTTGAGTTTTCTAGGCGGATCATTTGTGAATTTTGAGATTAGTTAGCACCACTTCTCTAATTGAATAACTAAGAGATTTGTTGTTGAAGGAGTTACCTTATCATAATCCTCTGTTTATGTTTAAATGTCTTCGTTAAAAGAGACTGTGTCCTGCCTGTTATATAATCTCTATGTGCCTATCCAGATTTTGGCATCCAACCAGTAGTTTAGTTAGAAGTAGAAAGTAAAACTTGATGTCTTTTGATTAGTCTTGTGCCCATCTTCATGATTATTATAGGAGTAATCTTATTTTCTATGAATAATAGAGTACTTTGTTTGAACATTAGTATTTAAGTTATTCTAAATGTATTAATTTTCAGTAAATTATAATGTAATTCGGAGAAAAAAAAACTGAAAAACATTATACGTACAAGTACAACAACAGTAATCACATAATAATCACAACATGCTGTATCTTTAACTTTAACCATCAATCATACACGATAGTACGTACTTTAGAGAATGGTTTTATACGTGAAGTATGTGATTAGTTAACACCACTTACGCTGTTATGCAAATCAATCAAGGATTAATGGTTTTAAAGGCTTTAGAGAATGATCTGCTGTTTATGTGTTTACTAAAAGAGACTATTGTGCCTTTCTTGTTTAGTTTGTAGATTCTGTCTCGACCATTTATAAGTTTGAATGAAGACTCGATGACTTATGATTCTTTTTTTCCATCCCTGGTGTCTTGATATTCAATCCGTGTTGGTTTTGCATTTCTTCTGGCTTCATAGTTTTTTCTTGAGAGCACATTCTTTGTTTAGGCTCTTTTTTTTTTGTTTGTTTAAGCTCCTCATTAGGTATGAAGTTACAACATCCTTTTTATTTTGCAGGGACGCACTTGATGCACTCCAACTAGTCAGATACTGCTGCAGGCGTATGCTAATGACTCATGTTGATCTGATTGAGAAGCTTCTCAACTATAACAGTACACTCTCCAAACTTTATCATATCTTGTGTCTCTTTTGACTCAGACGCTATTGTGTTCTTCGATTTATTTACTGGTACCCACAAACCTTTTCTTGCAGCTCTGGAAAAATCAGACAACAGTTAGAAGCGGATGCAAATTTGGTGGAAGAGTTTTCCTCTTTAGAGGGTTATATATCAATATATATATATATATCAAGATAATGAAGATTAATTTCCAAAATTCTAAGAATGTCTATCAATAAAATGTTGGTAAAATCTTTCTATGCTTATGTAAAATGTTTTTAATGTCTTTATTGTATGTTTACAAGCTTAATCCTTGTTTGTAACTTTGTAATTTTAATATGTTTAATATTAATCCAATATTTATTATGTTTTTCCTTTTGTAATTCAAATTAAATAATTATTTAAAAAACAAAATATATGATATTTATAATGGTGGGACAAAAAACCAAAATACACCAATGCTCAACCTTCAAAATAAATCAATTGTCCTACATGTAAAATATACATTAAAAAATTAGTGGGACAAACCAATGGGACCTGCAATGCCCATGGTCTAAGACTATATACATGGTTTTTATATAATTAGTTATCTCTCCCCAATTTATATAATTGGAAAATAATGTCCTTCTACTTGAAAACAAATTTATTTACCGCTATAATAAAATAAATGTCGATGTTTTATTTAGTTATTGGATTAACTTCAAATATTATTTACATTATATGATAAATATACATTTATCGTGTTAACTTCAAATACTATTCGTTTGCTAACTTGATTATTTTGATAAATAATCAAATAAAAGATATATACATGATTATCAACTATTATAATAAAACTAGAAAATGTTTATAAGATTTTCATAACTAAATATATAAAAAATTATAATATATAAACTGTTTCCCATAAAATTGTCTCATCATCTATCTTCCACATTTTCACATTTTGTCAAATACAAAACATCTAAATATGTGTTCTAGTGAACCAATTAACAAAATATTACATTTGCTATTCATATTTTATAATCGTTCATATAAGATTTGAATTAACTCGGTAATTTGATTGTTAACCAACTTGAATCCCAACAAAAAGTAAAATAATCACAACCGCATGAATCTAAACACCGTCGTTGTGCTTTAGTCTTTGTGTTTTCTTGGATGTCATCTCAATTATGACCATCATATACGAAATCTTCACAGTCGGTATTATCATCACCACCACCATGGATAAAACCATCGCTAACACTACACCTCTTTTCTTTCCAATCATCACCACATTGGAAATATCATCATCCACATCATCGTTTTGTTTATAATTTTCCCATCATTTCTTCACTATTTCTTACTTTTGCTATTTTTTACATCATATATTATTTATTAAATTGTATGTATAGTTATCTGATAAGTTTATGTATTATTATTAATTATTTTTTTATTTGAATTACCATGATAACATATTTTATGTATCTATAAGTTTATGTTTATTGTGCTAACTCAGTTATCAGCTAACTAAAGACTCCAAGGCTAAAGTTTTCCAAAAAAAGCATGCCAAATTATGAAAAAGAATGCCATAGAGTTAATTAAAACTTCTTTTGTGTGTATACAGTGTTATTTCCCCCGAAATAATATAAGAAATTGTAATTAAAAAAAAAATTTCTAATTATATATATGATTGAAGAGATGACTTTTTTTTTAGAGTGACAAAAGTGTGGTTATATTAAAAAATGCTTTAAATTTGATGTTAGCATTCCATCATGAACAACCCCAATCTACATACATTTTTGAAGTACATTTTGTGATAAAATTATTTTATGCAATTGATTTCCCAAAAACCCAATGTCTTTAACACTATTTATCTCAAATCATTATGGTTAATTCTATAAATATGTATTATAGTTCGGTTCAAAATTAAAATTTACAACCCAAAATCACAAAACGAATCCTCATTTATTCTTATCTTAATCAAAATTAAAAACAATATTACTATATATCAAAGATATGTTAATATTTCAGTTGTCACCAAAAAAATAAAAACCAATAAAATTTTGATTATGGATATTTCCACATCTTCATAAAAATATGGACTTGCAATATACCACACGGTAAATCTTAGTATGAAAACATAAACTTAACAGAAAGAAAAAATCGATCCTCCAAATACAATTAAAGAGTACCTTTGAGCCTTGTCACGAGCAAGTGTTTCGAATACTATAATTAGTGAATGACTTTTGAACAAATTTTTCATTCTAGTGTGTTTCTTTCAAGCCAAATTATGTAGATGACAGTTTCAATTCAAAGGTAGTGAATGGTAACAATGAAAAAGCGGTTTTCATCAGTTTTTTAAACAAAACCGTACTTTGACACCAATCACATTATTTTTGAACAATTTGCGTTTTTGTAAAAAAAAAAGAAAATCATCAATTTGCGTTTTTCCCGCATGTACCGCAGTTCAACCGCACCGCACTATCAAATCATTTGTCCCGCACAACCAAATCCGCTGTTACCATTCGAACCCAAAGTACATAATCTTTTTTTTTTTTCCAAAAAAAAAAAAAAAAAAAAAAGTACATAATCTAAACAAAAGTGTGTATGCCACGTGGCAGTTGTTAAAAAATAAAAAAAAAAACAAAAAAAACCAGGAAACTTCTTCAGCACTAAATCAAAAAAAAAAAAAACTCGAAAGCAAAACAATTTCACAAACACGTAGCGTAGATCAATCGAGAGAGAGAGAGAGCACTAAAACTATGAAGAGAAGCTCGATTCAGGTCGTATCTCTTGACGAACAAGACGAAGAAGATGATGATTTCTTACTAGAACTCGCCGCAATTGAAGCTGAAGCGGCGGCGAAACGCCCTAGGGTTTCTACACCGGAGGGACCATACATGGCGGCTTTAAAAGGAAGCAAAAGCGAGCAATGGCAGCTAAGTCCGTTAAATCCCGAATCTAAATCACGCGGTGTCGCTGTTTCCACCGGCGGCGATTTTCAAAGAGGCGTCGCCGGTGAACTGGATTTTCCGGAGAAGAGTTGTCCCTGTGGAGTAGGTCTTTGTTTGGTTCTTACTTCAAATACACAGAAGAATCCAGGTCGCAAATTCTACAAGTGTCCCAATAGAGAGGTTTGTTTTTTCTTTGCTTCCTAAGTGTTTGATTAAATGCCTGTGAGAAAATAATGTTACAATGTTTCATCACTAGGAGAACGGAGGTTGTGGGTTTTTCCAGTGGTGTGATGCGGTTCAGTCTTCTGGAACTAGTCATAGTTATGGAAACAATAATGATTCTAAGTTCCCGGATCATCAATGTCCATGTGGTGCTGGTTTGTGCCGTGTTCTTACTGCTAAAACAGGGGAAAACGTTGGCCGTCAGTTTTATCGCTGTCCTGTTTTTGAGGTATGTTTATCAATTTGTTCCATGGTTGGTTGTGGTATTATCTATTATCAGCTTAGCCATGACTTTGCAATCTTTTGTACGTTTTTTGATTTGTGCTTCTGGATTGTGGGTTAGTGAGGCCTTTCTCTATGTTTCTGATATAGCTCTGGTACTAGTTCTGTCTGATATGTGCTGAGTCTTGTTTTTTTTTTTTCACTTTATGTTATCTCTGGTTGCAATGATAACCAGTATACTCGATTACAAGTATACTGATAAATGTATGTGCACTTCAAGAGTTTATTAGATAAGCTGAAATGGTGATCAGGGGTTTATTAGATCAAGAGTTTGAAACATAAAATTATTGGTTCGCTGTCTTTCTGGTAGAGCTCTGATACTGGTTCTCTCTTATAAGTGCTGCCTCTTGTTTTTCACTCTATGTTATCTCTGGTTGCAAACTTGAAATGATAACCAAGTTTTTTCGGTTTCAAGTATACTGATAAATTTATGTGCACTTCAAGAGTTTATTCGATAAACTGAAATGGTGATCCGAAGCTTTATTTTTCCTTGTTTGAAACACAAATGTTTGCAAATTGAAAGTCAGTTCATAGGTTCTTTCCGTACATTTAGTGCCAAGAACCATCTCTGGAATAAGTGACACAATTGAATTCCCAATGTATATTTTGCAGAATAAGTGAACAATTGAATTACAAATCTATATTTTGAACGATGGTTGATGTAGTATGTTGCATAGCTCTGAGTGTATGTTCATTTTTTCATGGCTTACTTTTAATGGCAGGGGTCTTGTGGTTTCTTCAAATGGTGCAATGATGATTCAGTCAGTGCCTCTACGACATATAGTGTTACCAATAACAGCAACATATGTGAATCGGATACCAGAGGATATCAAACTGCAAAAACGGGCACACCCTGCTATAAATGTGGAAAAGAAGGACACTGGGCAAGAGACTGCACTGTTCAGTCTGGCAATCCATTGCCCGAAACGGGGCAACTAAAGTCTACATCTGCAACTGGAGATTGCTATAAATGCGGAAAGCAAGGTCACTGGGCGAGAGACTGCACTGTTCAGTCTGGCAATCTGTTGCCTGAAACGGGGCAACTAAAGTCTACATCTGCAACTGGAGATTGCTATAAATGCGGAAAGCAAGGGCATTGGGCGAGAGACTGCACTGCTCAATCTGGTAATCCGACGTATGAACCAGGGCAAGGGAAGTCCTCCTCTTCAAGTGTAGAATGTTACAAATGCGGGAAGCATGGACATTGGGCGAGAGACTGCACCGGTCAGTCTGGTAATCAACAGTTTCAATCAGGCCAAGTAAAGTCCACATCTCCATCCGCAGCTGGAGATTGTTACAAATGCGGAAAGCCAGGCCACTGGGCGAGAGACTGCACCGGTCAATCTGGGAATCAACAGTTTCAGTCAGGACAAGCAAAGTCCACAACCTCAGCTAGAGATTGTTACAAATGTGGGAAACCAGGACATTGGGCAAGAGATTGCACCAATGCTGCTTAAACCATAAATACTCCAGGAAAAGACAGAGGCAGTACTAGGTCAGGCTTTCTCGTGCTCATCTGTCTTATACAAATCTTTAGGTCTCTTTTATTATAGTTAACCACAACATTGTCATGTCTAATGGACCATCGTTTTTGCTCTGTCTTCAATCTTATAAATCTTTGTTTTTGTTTTCCTAACTTTTTTATTAAAAGCTTTGGAGTTAAATAAATAAATACTGATCTGTTAAATCATAATGGGCCGTTATACACATGTTTTTGGTTGAAATGTCATCCTCTAAATGTTATATCAATAAAAATAAGGTCTCATAAATTCATAAATTCATAATTATCGAATAATAATAATGTTTTTTTACAATATGTAAGAAGTAAGATATTTTTTCCGAGTTTACTTGACGCCATGTTTCTTTTTCTTTATTGGTCAAAATGAAAAAAAAAAGAATTATGTATTAAATAAAACAAAGTGTGTAAAATAAGAATTTTTCAGTATATCATAAAAACTGAAAATTGCAAGAAAATAAATTTGCTTTCCCCTACAACACGTAAGAAAAGGGACAGAGAAGATTTAAGTTGTTAGAATAAATCGGTAGATTCCAGATTTAGCATATGTAACGCTTACTCATATCCATTTCGCTTTATCTTATCATGTTCTGATTTTTTTCCATTTATGGCTAACCAAACAAATCAAAACATCATTTCTTTTTCTTCAGAATCAAAACTATAGATTGGTCGATTTAAGATTGTGCAATGCCCACTTTGCTTCAAACAGCTCCAATGTCTGTGTCTGAATCCTCCTCCGCTTCATCCCGGTCTTCTTTGGTTTTCGCTTACTACGTTACTGGCCATGGCTTTGGTCATGCCACTCGTGTTGTCGAGGTTAGAGTTCTTGATATTATTTGCCTGAGATCATAAGTCATAGCATTCTTGATCCCTTAAAATTTATCTTTCTCTTTGTTATGTAATGGCCTAAGGTGGTTCGGCATCTGATATCGTCTGGACATCAAGTTCATGTTGTCTCTGCTGCTCCAGAGTTTGTTTTTACCATGGAGGTTCACTCACCCAATCTCTTTATCCGGAAGGTAATTAGTAATTTCATAGAAATATTTGTTCTGAGTTTCATTCTGATACATCCAAAGATGATCTTTCATTTAAGAAAAAAAAAAATGTATGGAGGTGGTGTTAGGTACTGTTGGATAGTGGATCTGTACAAGCTGATGCTTTAACCGTAGATCGTCGTGCTTCCTTGGAGAAGGTCTCTTTCAGTCATCTCTCTTAGATGTTTCATCTTTCTCATTTAGACCATTGGGGGACTAGCTGAATCAATCCTTTTCGTCAAATTTGCAGTATTGCGAGATTGCAGTTGAACCTCGAGACTCTATTTTAGACACTGAGGTTGAGTGGCTAAAGTCTATCAAAGCCAACCTTGTGGTACTTCAGAAATTCATTCAATATAATGTTGTATAGATCTTGAGTGTGTTGGTCTTATATTAGATAAGAAAATATTGGTCCCATCAGGTCTCAGATGTTGTCCCGATCGCTTGTCGTGCTGCAGCAGATGCCGGAATCCGCTCTGTTTGCGTCACCAACTTCAGGTCAGTGAAATTGCTAGGCTGATTTACTGGTAGAATGGCTAGGTATTTTATGGTACATTAGATACATATCAAGAAAATTAGTTTTCTCATAACTTTAAATTGTGATCATTGCAGTTGGGACTTCATATATGCAGAATATGTGATGGCAGCGGGACACCATCACCGATCCATTGTTTGGCAGGTAACCTCTTTTAATGATACAATAAGCTTAAAATCTGTTTTTCTCTATTCATCGATAATAATTTCTGCAGATAGCTGAGGATTATTCGCACTGCGAGTTTCTTATACGCCTCCCTGGATACTGTCCTAGTAAGTTATACATATATTTTCCAGTAATGTATCAGTATAACATACCAAAACAAAACCAATCTTGTTCTTATACAGTGCCTGCTTTCCATGATGTTATTGATATTCCCCTTGTTGTGAGGCCATTGCATAAATCTAGACAAGAGGTTGGTTTCCATCAGTGTTCTTGAAAAAAGACATGTCTTTTGTCAGTTTTAACCGAGTTCATTCACGTGTCAGGTGAGGAAAGAGCTTGGAGTTCCAGACAATGTTAAACTACTCATCTTTAACTTTGGTGGGCAAGTAAGCAAATTCTCTAGTAGCTTTTAATCTCAATTTTCAAATTTGAGTTCTTTGTTTACAATATATTGCTGTTGTGATTTGCAGCCCACTGGTTGGACACTGAAGGAGGAATATCTACCAGCTGGTTGGTTATGCCTGGTAATATCGAGATTCCATTATGTCGTTCTGGTATTGTTGATTGATTTTTAAACAAGATAAAAAAATGATAACGTCATATATAGGTTTGTGGAGCATCTGCTAAACAGGACCTTCCCCCAAATTTCATAGCACTTCCAAAAGATGTTTATACGCCTGATGTGATTGCTGCTTCAGACTGCATGCTAGGTATTTATGAGTCTTTTACTATAACATTGTGCTGATTATCTTAATTCATGGCTAATAATGGCGAGAAACTTCAGGAAAAATTGGATATGGAACTGTGAGTGAAGCACTTGCATACAAGTTACGGTTCATATTTGTGCGAAGGGATTACTTCAATGAAGAACCATTCTTGAGAAAGATGCTTGAGGTTATAATATACACAGTCTGCATGTATGTTTTGTTTATATATTTCCATTCTCTTGAAAATTCTTCTTTCTTGCATTAAAGTACTACCAAGGTGGAGTTGAAATGATCAGAAGAGATCTTCTGGCTGGATGTTGGGCGCCCTATCTCGAGCGTGCAGTTACATTGAAACCATGTTACGATGGAGGCATTGATGGGGGTGAGGTAGACTGTGCAAACTCTTCATATTAGCAGACCATTCCTTTTTGTACTGTAATATGATAGTAGCTCAATTTTTCCTCTTGATGATGTCATTGCTCCTGGTTGTTTCTAAATTCAGGTGGCAGCTAAAATACTGAAGGACACAGCAATGGGGAAGAAGCGTTCCAAACTCAATGTTAGTGATACAAGCAAGAAAATGTTATCGAGACTTTAGATTCTTATAGATGAAAATCATATTAGTTTGTGATTCATTTGTAACACTAATCAGTATCCACCTTGATAATGTAGCTTAGCGGGGCGAGGAGACTAAGGGATGCAATAATATTAGGCTTCCAGCTACAAAGAGCTCCAGGAAGAGATCTTTCAGTTCCCGAATGGTATCAAGTCGCTGGAAACGAAGCTGGGATTCATTCGGTTGATCAGACGCAGAAGTCTTCCAAGTGTGTTTCCTTGTGGATTTGTAATTTTTGAAATGTTACTTAATTGGTGGATTGACTCACCTTTTATGTGTTTTATTAACAGGTTTGTAGAAGGCTTTGAAATTCTTCATGGAGATCACCTTGGCCTTTCTGATACAATTGGTTTCTTGGATAGTTTGGCAACATTAGCTAAAATAGGAGGCCATCATCAAGAAAGAGAGCATTTGGCTGCTGCCGCACTTTTCAACTGGGAGGTTTGTTCCATAATAGGATTATTGAAGTTTGTGTGTTTATAGAGACTGATAGTGTGTGTTGCCATTCAGGAAGATATTGTTGTTGCGAGAGCACCCGGTAGACTTGATGTAATGGGAGGCATTGCTGATTACTCTGGAAGTCTTGTCTTGCTGGTTAGTTCCATCTTCAAGATTGATCTTTTATTGGCATTAATTATGCATCTTGTAACAGAAGAGTGTTTTCTGTTATTGGTTAGATGCCTACGAGAGAGGCATGTCATGCCGCTGTGCAGAGGAATCATCCTAGTAAACAGAAACTCTGGAAGCATGCTGAAGCACGACATCATTTAAGAGACACTCCCATACTTGAAATTGTATGTTCTTCTTTATACTCTCTAACTCAACATTGTTTTTCTCTATAACGTTTTTTGAACTTTCAGGTTTCATTTGGATCTGAACTGAGCAACAGAGGGCCAACTTTTGATATGGACTTGTCTGATTTTATGGAAGAGGATGGGAAACCAATATCCTATGAGAAATCCTGCCATTACTTTTCCCGAGATCCGTCTCAGAAGTTGGTTCATCTCTTTCTCCCCATTTTCAGATACGTTATCATAAAGTTATGAGATATTATAACATTGAGTCCCTTTTCTAGGTGGGCGGCATATGTTGCAGGTACAATTTTGGTACTAATGAGGGAGATGGGTGTTCGATTTGAAGACAGCATAAGCATACTGGTAAGAAATTTTTTTTTAACTTCATGAACTGCGTTGTATCTAACTCAGCTACATACACGTTTTCAGGTTTCTTCAACAGTTCCTGAAGGCAAAGGAGTATCTTCCTCTGCTTCAGTTGAAGTTGCTACCATGTCTGCTGTCGCTGCTGCTCATGGTTAGTACAATTTGTCCGCAACAACTAATTAGGGAGTAGATGATTCATTGAGCTGAATGTGCAGGGCTTGAAATATCTCCGCGAGATGTGGCTTTGCTTTGCCAAAAGGTGGAGAATTATGTTGTTGGAGCACCTTGTGGAGTGATGGATCAGATGGCTTCTGCTTGTGGAGAAGCTAACAAGCTTCTTGCTATGATCTGTCAGGTACTCTCTCTCTTCATTTCCTTCAAAAAGATGATTCTTCTTATAAGACTAATAACCGGGTTCCTACTTGCTGCAGCCAGCTGAGATACTAGGCCTTGTTGAAATACCATCTCACATTCGATTTTGGGGAATCGATTCTGGAATACGACACAGGTGCTGTATACATTCTTTGTTTAGAAAATGCAAGTGAGAGTTTTACATTTTATTCTTAACACATTCGATACGCTGCAGCGTTGGTGGTTCAGACTATGGTTCTGTGAGGATAGGAGCTTTTATTGGTAAGACAATGATAAAATCTTTTGCATCTTCTTTTACTAAATCCAACTCAGAAGAGGCTGAAGAGGAGAGCTCAGAGTTGATTGAATCCGATGCTTCGTTGGATTACTTATGCAACCTTTCACCTCATAGGTACTATAAATACCTCTATGTATATAACATCCTGTGTTACACAATTTGACCATATTCAATATTTTGCAGATTTCAAGCTCTCTACGCAAGTAAGCTCCCACAGTCCATCACTGGAGAAGAATTCATCGAAAAGTATAATGATCACGGGGATTCTGTCACAACCATTGACAGAAAAGGTACATACGACATAATGGCCCCAACGAGACATCCAATTTATGAGAATTTCCGTGTCCAGGTGAACGAATCTAATTGTATATATAAATTCATTTTGATGATGTTAACTTACAGCTAATCTAATTGTAGCTTAGAAGAATGATCACTCTCTCTCTTTCTCTCAGGCTTTCAAAGCATTGTTGACAGCAACTCCCTCAGAAGAACAGGTCATAGGTCTTGGGGAGCTTATGTACCAGGTAAATCAATATTTTTACAAAGCAAACGCGGTTCTTGTGATCGAGTTTCCGCTACTAAGTTAACCGTTAATCACATTGCTTACTTGGCAGTGCCACGATAGCTACAGCGCGTGTGGAATTGGCTCTGATGGAACAGACAGATTAGTGAAATTAGTGCAGAATATGGAGAATTTGAAAAGCTCTAAAACCGGGAACGGGACTCTCTACGGGGCCAAAATCACTGGAGGTGGCAGCGGTGGTACGGTTTGCGTTATTGGAAAAAGTAGTTTGAGAAGCAGTGAACAGATTCTTCAGGTCAAAAGAATCAAAACTTTGATTGATCACATGATTCTTTGAGATAGAACCAAAACGTTAACTAAAGATGTGTTCTCATGAATTTGCAGATTCAGAGAAAGTACAAAGAAGCAACAGGGTTTATGCCTTATGTGTTTGAAGGTTCATCTCCAGGAGCTGGCAAGTTTGGATATTTGAAGATACGCAAGAACTCTGCTCCTACTTCTTCTACTTAATTTCTAAAACTTAAGAGGCAATTATGTATGTCACTAAGTAATTATGTGAACTAAAAAAAAAGAAGCCAAAAAGACGAATTCTTGCATCCATTTTGCTATACACGAAATTATATGGCAAATTAAATTTTAATTGTGTTTAACTAATTTTCTAGAGGATTCATATTTACTATGCATTTGTTAAATTTTCTATGTAAGCAATTAAAATATCTAAAGAAATATTATTAACATTTTAAATAAATAAACTAAAAATAAGTTTAGGTATAAAATATGAATTTCTTAATATTAATTGTGTTCAACTATGTAATTTAATTTTTTCTAGAGGATTCATTTACTATGCATTTGTTAATTTTTTTTTTTTGTAAACCGCATTTGTTAAATTTTCTATGTACGCAAATAAAAGATACATTTTTTAAATATTCATTTTGTTAAATTTCAATAAATTCTACCCACTAAAAATTATACCCAAAATGTAAAATAGTCAACCCAAACCTTAGAAAAAAATCCTAGAAAATTATTGAAAATATTATAATTGTAATAATTAGTAAAAATTTTATAAATTTACGGAGTGTATGCTATTATGGAGAACGACAAAAATCAATCCAAACTCTCCACCGAACGCGTTTTCCTACCCAAACTCGAGTACCATGTATTTTACAACTCAAACCGGTTAAAAATCAAATAATCAACCTAAACCATATCAAATTTGGTCAATTTTAACCTCTGTTCAAACGGTATTAATTTGGCTTTTAACGATGATGAGTCAACCAACCTGTGGCGCATAGGTGGAAACGATATCTATTAAACGACATTGTTTTGTTCAGTTTTGAATGATTTTGGGAGAATAGAGAAAACTGAACAAAATGACGCCGTTTACCAAATCTCGTTGGCACGTATGCACCACGGGTCGGCTGACTCGACACCATTAAAAGCCAAGTTAACACCATTTGACGAGAGGTTAAAATCGACCAAATGTGATATGGTTTAGGTTGATTATTTAAATTTTTTACCAATTTAGGTTGTAAAATACAGGGTATTCGAGTCGGGTAGGAAAACATATTTGATGAAGAGTTTAGGTCGACTTTTACCATTTTCCCGTGCTATTATTGTCCATAAAACATATTTTGGTGTTATTTGAGGGTATTTCTCTTTAATAAATTCAAAAATGATTTTTTAGAATAAAAATATAGTTTTGGTATAAAATATGAAATATTTAATATATATATTTTTTTTTTAACAAACCAATAAACTAATCACTTTGTGAGAAAATGTGATGCTTTTGCTAATTTTCTTTTTTTCAAAATAATTGGTAGTAATTTTTCAAAGATATCAAATTGGCCCAAACCCCAAAAGAAATAGAAAAATTAGTTTATTCCAAATCAGAAATCGGAATTGAAAAACTTATAAATCCCTCTCCTCTCTCTCGATTCTCAATTTATTCAGAATTCTCACGTTTGTAGGGTTTCCCAAATCCTCCGTAACTAATTTTTCAATTCCGATCAACGAGAGAGAGATCAATGACTACTCTCGACTCTGACGTTCCTATGACCCCCGCCGGCGAAGCCTCTAGCAGCACCGTTCCGTCAAAGAAATCGAAACGCTTTGAAATCAAGAAGTGGAGCGCCGTCTCTCTTTGGGCTTGGGGTATGAATTAACGAATCAAACCCTAATTCTTCTCAGATACGTCTCGCTTTTTTTGCTTCTACTTAGGGTTTTTTGTTTGATTCGCTCTTGTTTGATTTCGCAGATATCGTTGTTGATAACTGTGCAATCTGTAGGAATCACATCATGGATCTGTGTAAGCTATTGAGATATGGTTTTTTTAATCAGTCTTGATGGATACTTTTATGCTTAGTTCTTTGTTATGGTTTTGGTGATTGTTTAGGTATTGAATGTCAAGCTAATCAGGCTAGTGCTACCAGCGAAGAATGTACTGTTGCTTGGGGTAAGTTTCTTCAGTTCTTTCTGTAGTTATATTGAATGCTGAATCTGTTTGAATCCAGATTTTGGTTGTAGCTTTGTATATTTGTAAAACCCACTTACTCTGTATCTTTGTGTTACTTATCTTTGTGTTACTTATCTTTGTGTTTGCAGTGAGCACTTCAGTAGTTTAGTTGAATAGGTTTGTTAACAGTGACTAGTATAGAAGAGAGGCAAGTTTTTGTTTCTGAATAGAGTTAGGTTAGCTTTTGTCTGCTACTTGGTTTCATTTGTGGTTGTTCTCTCATTCTCTGTTTAATCTGCTGGTTGAATGTTTTGACTTTTTAGTTGTTTCATATTTGGTAGTGCTTCATCTACTTGGTAGTGCTTCATCCAGTTTGTAGTGCTTTATCCAGTTTGTAGTCCTTACCTTTTTTGAATGTGATGAGAATGTATTTACTTAAAAACATGGAACTTTGTGCTGTCATTGTTACATTCCTCATGAGTATTTATGAGTTGGTGCTTGTGCGAAATTTGTTATTATATGGTCAACATAGGAAAGATTAGCAGACAAGAACTTTTTTGTATGCTCTTGGTTCTCTGATGAGAACGGTTTTGGATCAATTACATTCTGTATATGTTTCTCCATTTCAAGCTTGAAACTGAGACTGATAGTTTCTTTATCCTCATTACCTCTGTATCACTTCTTTATAGTAGAACTAACTTTTAGCCCATTGCTGAGTTAAATTACTGTGGAAGATAACATATATCAACTAGATATATTTCTGCAAATTGTTGCTGTTTTTGCATTAGGTAATAGCAGGAGTTATCTTGGTTATGATGTGTCTCATGTCTCTGGATTTATAGTGTTAGCCATGTTGGATTGAGTCATCATATACCCACAGTTGGTCAATATATGCTTATACATGAAAAGTCGACATCTCTAGGTTTAACGTCTAATATCGTGACATTGTTTGACTTGTAGGTGTCTGCAACCATGCCTTTCACTTCCACTGTATCAGCAGATGGCTCAAGACTCGTCAAGTGTGTCCATTGGGTATGTTTTTTTTCTCTCTAATCTACAAGCTCATCTTACTCGTCAGTATCCTCTTTCTCATTGTTTTTTCTTCTTGCTCGGTTTTTAACAGATAACAGCGAGTGGGAATTCCAGAAATATGGTCACTAAAGCTACAGCTCGCATCACTGGTTTCCTTTGTTGCCGTATATGATTCTCTATGACTTGCAGTTTTCTCTTAAATTTGCCTGAATCTGTTGAGATGTCTTTGAACAATTGTGTGCTCAATGAAACCTTTGTTGTTAAAAGACCATCTCCGACCCAAACTAAGTTTCAATTATTAAATACATTAACTCCATTCTTTTGGCTACAAGTTTGATCTCTTTTTGGCGACTCTTCATGATTCTCCTGCTACTGCGACATATAGAGTAACAGAATTAGCTTGCAATTCTAAATTGACTAATCTGATTAACTTAGAAAGCCAAAGATAAGTTTTTCAACTTTTGGTATACTGTATATGAAAATCTTAGAAAAAATTAGAAATTAGTTGTTAACGTGTTCATTCATACAGATTCCTGTGAGTCTAAATTAGCCCCGGACATTTGGATATAGAGATATAAAATTCGAGCGGGTATTTTATAATATCGGATTAGATTCCGATTGGATGCTCTCGGGGTCGATTAATTTTGGATATATCTGAAACCCGATCTTGGTGCCAAATATCCAAAGATTTTGATGATTTTTATCCGAAATTGATAGCAATATCCGAAATTTTTGATCTTATCCGGAATACTCTAACATTCATAATTTTACCAAAAAAAATATTCAACACACATCTATACTATATAAAAGCTGAGGCTATAAGTTTTTGAAGGTGTCCACGTATGATTTTAAACAACCAATAATAATTAGACATCTCATTAGTTAACAATTTTGAAATTACGATAATTTCTTTATTAAGTTTTTTTAGTAAAAAGGAAAATAATAAGATATATGGTCATAAAGATATATTATAAAATATGGAAATATTTCTAAATTTAATATTTCATTTTCATAATAAATAAATAATATAAAAATAATCAAAATGAAAATTCGTTTAATTTTTGTTAAATTTAAAAACGAAAATACTGAGTTTTTTAAAATTAAATTACCTAATAATTTATTTTGAATATTGTGGTTGAGTAAATTTCTATTTTAAAAATTAAAATCAAGTTGGATAGTTATGGTGATTATCCCTAACAATTCAACTATAAATATAGAGTCTCGGCCTCTAAATTAGTACTTGGTTCTATTAGTTTCGTAGTTGTGACTTTTTTTTAAAAAATCTTTTTTTTTTGGTGTAGTTCATATTTTGAGAATATGATTTTCTTTGTATTTGCGTTTTTCCGAATAATTTCTATCATTCGAGTTGCTTATCACCCATTTATGAGTTTGTAATTCTATTCGAAGTTATAATTGTGTTTTAGTGTTGTATTATTTTTGCCGTGTTTTGATTGTTAATTGCAATTCTAATTTTTAATGGTTTATGTAAGGAGTATTGTTTATATTGAGATCTTCGATGGGGAAAGGTTTTTTAATGAAGGAATTGGAGATGATGCTAGGAAGATATATTTATTTGTTTGTTTGTTTGTTTATTATTTATTGATATCTTGGTTAGTTAGTTTGTCTTTTGTTTATGAAATTTGATATGAGAATTCTAGAAACATAAAACTAATTTACGTTAGAAAGGCATCTAACTTCGAGTTTAGGAGTTTAGATGGACAGCGTTGTTTCGAGTAGTTAATTCATTAATCTTCAATCAAAAAAAATAAATGATATAAAACTAATCAAAATATATAATTGAAGTTTTATTAATTTTAAAAACGAAAATACTGATTTTTTTTTGTTTATTTCTTATGTTAAAATATTTCAAAATTTATTGTGAATATTGTGTTTGAGTAAAGCTTTCTATTTTTAAAAAGTAAAATTAAGTTGGATAATTATGACTATTAGCCCTAAAAATTCAACTATAAATATAGAGTCTTGACCTCTACATAATTATATGGTTACATTAGTTTCGTATTTTTATTTTTTGCTGTTGGTGTTGCTCATATTTTTGATAATATGATTTTCTTTGTATTTTGCGTTTTTCGAATTGTTTGCATGATTTGAATTGCTTATCATTTGTTTATGTTATTTATTCCATTCGAGATTATAATTGTGTTTTTAATAGTGTTGTATTATTTTTCTGTGTTTTAATTGTTTAGTGTAATTCTAACTTTTATTTTTATTTTTTATGGTTTATGTAATAGGAGTATTGTCTATATTGGGATCTCTGATCGGGAAATTCTTAAAATATAGTAATTGGAGATTATGTTAGGTCGATGATGCTAAGGTAAAAACCACAATCTGATATCCTTATTTTTTTGTTTATTATTTGTTGATATCTTGGTTAGTTACTTTGTTTGTTTTTTAATGAAATTTGGTATGAGTATTTATGAAACATAAAACTAAGTTATGGTAGAAAAGCATATAAATTCGAATTAAAAAATTTAGATGGACGATGTTTTTTTGAGTAGTTAATTCATTAATCGTCAATCATAAATAGTTTTCACAAAATTATATCGAATATACCCACGCGTAGTATTGCTTCACTCTTTCTAATCTCTTTGATCATACCTAGATATGTTTAATTTATCATTGCAATATTCTCCTCGAGCAATGCTTGTTCCTCTAGATGCTTCACTTCTATATATTCTCTTCAACTCTCTTTCTCCGTAACACTTTTTCAGTTACTTATCCATTAAGCTCTATATCTCCTCTCTTTTCATCTCTACTTCATTACCTAAACTCTCTACCGTTTCTTCTAGATCAATTTAAAGTAATAGAAAGTATTCTTCTTGTCAAAGTTTGAGTCTTTGTCATTCTTCTTCTTTAGTTCTTTGTGAGTGAGTCACTTAGTTCTCTAGAAACCTGCGGATTAAGTTTGTTGTGTGATTCAACATCCTTTATTCGTCCATTGATCGAGTGAGTCGATTATCCCACCGATTGAGCAAGTCAATCACCTGAACTATCCCCTGAACCACCCACTGATTCACGAGAGAGTGCTTCTGGCCAGCTCGTGAATTCCACCTTCCGCAAGCTAAGCTTGGAATCTCTTGATCATCAAGTGATCTAAAGTTTGGAGTGATTCCAATCTTGTATCATCTGGTATCAGAGCTTCAAAAGCTCTTATCCGCAAGGTTGTATCTTTTCAACCTATATTTGTTTTTCTGTTTTTCTTATTATTTTTTATTTTATATAAAAAAATCAAATAAATTTTTATTCCTTGCTTTAATCTTGTTATTTGCTTCAGTATTTCATTAACAAAAAAAAAATATATTGTTTTACTTCATTTTCTTATTTATTTCGGATTTATTAAAAGAAAAGCCATAAAAATCATATTTTTTTGTTATTGTAAATTAATTTCGTATTTTATTTTTATAAAACCAGAAAATAAAATAAAAACTGAATTTTTCCTTTTGTTATTTGAATTTTTCGGATTTATTTTTTTATAAAAAATATTCATTTCTATTTTTTTGAAGTATTTTCCTTATTTGTTGATTTACTTTTTGATACATTTTTCTTTTGCTTGCGCAAGATTCTTTTATCACGAAGACCAGAGCAAATATGGAGTTTATTGAGTTTTACTCAGATGAAGAATTTCAAGGAGAAGAGCCCTATCAAGTCACGTCGGATGAGGAAAACAACTATGGAACGATCTCGTGGCGACGAGATGATAGTTCAGCTTCTGATTCAAGAGATGAACCAGGCCATGAAGCACCAGAACCAGAATCGCCTGACTCATACAATAGCAATAAAGGCTATTCTAAACCATGGATTAAATTTAATGATAATTTTTCCAGCCATGGTTCAAAATCTCCATTGACCCGAATTATGTCATTTTCAGGAAAAGATGATTATCTTAAGCGAAAAGAAGGCGAGCTAAAACATCCAAGTGGTAGACGTGATCCCCTAGCTGAGAGAGACGCAAGGACCAGTAAGCTAAGAGGAGGCGAGCTAAAACATGGTGCTAGAAGAGACCCGTTGCTATCCAATCCCACCCGTACTAACAAGACCAAATTCAGGTTATCTCTAAACAATGGTTATGAGTATTTTGGACCTGAATGTTTTGAGTTTGCAGGACATGAAAGAGACTATCTACAATGGGAAATCAACATGGACAAGTACTTTAGGTATTATTCCATTTCCAAAGAAGAGAAGCTAACCTATTGTTTTGAACAACTCATGGGAAGTGCAAAACGTTGGTGGAACCAAGAGGAAAAAGATAGAGTATGGTACAAGGAACCATCACTTAAAACGTGGGGGCAACTAAAGTTGCTTATGAGGGAGAGATATGCACCTCAAAAGCTATCCCAGCCCGGTCAAAACACTTATTCCTCAAAGGAACCAAGCCGAGAGAACACAACACATCAACGTGTTAGTTCCAACCGAAACGCGGATATGTCACCTGCAAGGTAAGTGCCACAACTTCTAAGCTTAATGTTTATCAACAAGTTGACCACGTGATGCACTTGTTTTCATCCAAGGAGAATGAGAAAGGTACAGGTGAAAGGGAAGTGTCAAGCACAATACCTTCACTTAAGCCGCAAGACAAACCCGAGCAAGGTAAGTCTTCTAATTGTTTAAAAACAAAAAAACCAACATGTTATAGATGTCATAAAAGAGGTCATTTTGCTGCATCATGCCCTGGACGACATGTATAACATATCACATCAATAGAGTTAAAACCAAATGCATCGAACTCAAATGATTGTCTAGTGAAATCAAGTTTAGAAATTCCCAATTCTAGATTAATGCACTTGTCTTTGCCCAAGGTTATTGATGCAGGCCTAAGTCATATGATGGATGAAAAGGCTGACGAACTAAACCACCATGTAACAACCCCAAGGGAAGTTGAGAATGATATAAGCTTTGAAGAGAAACTTTCGGAAACAACGTCATCACAAGTTTTCGAAAATAAGATGTGTGAGCAAGCAACTGTTGAAGCACGTGTGAAGGCACAACTATGTTCAACCTCATCTCATTGTTCTTCTGAGATCACACTCATTAAGGTTGAGTTAATGCCAAACACCGTAAATGGTATCATAGTAAGTGAAACCTATGATCTTGTTCGATATTGGAATAATTTAATAAGTAATCGTAGCTTCAAAGACTTTGTTTTAAATGATTATACTTCAAGTATAATGCACTTGATTTTAGTCTTAAGTGTCCAGAAAGATACAGGTACCATAGAAGAGTATCATGATGAGCAAGAGACCACATCCCAAAGGATATTGAATGTGGAGCAAACGGAGAAACTAGCAAAGAGTGATAACATGCATCCAAATC